AGTTCCCAGGCCTCCGGGAGGCTGGCACCTCGGGGATGGACAGACCTCCCTTTAGTAAAACGTGGTTTAGTCAAAACGACCTGAGGCCCAAACCTGGCGGGCGCAAGCCTGGAAAATAACGGCCGCGGCGCCCTCTCGAGAACCGAAAACGGACAATTCACTAATCGACGTGTCACTGTTGGGGGTTCTGTCCACCCCCGAGCACCCCTCGAGCCCGCAGCTGTCCTCGGGCAGCGCCAGTGGGAGGTCACGGCCGAAGGGCCCGGCTGGCTCCTCCAGGAAGCGGGCCGCCCTGGACCCCCCAGTGGCCCCACGGGGCTCCCAGGAGGCACCCAGAAACGCCCAGCAAGGACTCCTAGCTTCGCGCTTCGCGCTCCTCGAAGCGCGAAGCGCGAACAACTTCGCGCTCTCGCGCCGCCTCCCAAAGGGAGGAAAGGAGGACGAGGAGTAGGGGGAGAAGGAACGAGGACCGCGAAGCGCGAAGCGCGAATAACTTCGCGCCCTCGTGGGAGCCCTTGTCCAGGGTCTCCTGGTCCTCGATCCCCTATCCTCCTCGATCACCGATTCCCAGGCGAGGGCCGATCAAAAGCGGGCCTTACGCGAGATGGCACAGCGAGCTTACGCGGCGGCTTGCGCGGCCCGGCAGCGCGGCACGCTACCATGTTGGAGACGAGGGCGCTTACGCGCCACCCTGTGCGGGCAGGCAGCTTCCGCGCCAGTGTCGGCGCAGATGAACCCGTTGTCTGGCGTCGCTCAGGTGTCGGTGAATCCCCTGCTGGTGACCACCCTTGGCACTGCCCGATACGTCGCGCACTCGGTCCTCGATCCCCGGCCCCCCCTCCTCGGCCCTCGCTTCTTGGTCGCCCGGAAACGTCCAGGATCATCCCCGAACCCCCGATTCCCAGGTGGCAGAACCCCCCCTTCTGATGGCCCACCTTCTGATTAAGTCGGGCCTGTCCCTCTACAGGAGGAATATTCAAAAAGGAGTCCAAAAATAGTCAGGGGACGATTTTTCTGGTACCTTTGAGCACTTGTTCTGAGCATGCTTTGACTATTCTCTATTTCTCGTCCAAGACCCCCCTGCAGGGTGACAGGCCCGACCTGACCTTGTGACGCTGCCCGATCTGCCGCGCACTCGCCCTCCGGAGAGGCCGCGTTTTCTCTGGGCCCCGCGGGAGGGTGGGGGGGCGTCCGCAGGTGCCCGCCGCCAAGGGGGGCGAGGGGCGAGCTCCGGGGGGGGGGCCGGTCGAGGGGTCCAAGGCCAGCCAGGTTCGAAAGAGCGCCGAAGTCCTGGGTCTCAACGGGGGATGTGTCTGCCTCTATCCCAGGCGTCGTGGGGCTTTCGAGCGGACCAGGAACTCGGGGCCCAACCCTGGGGTACAAGATGGGGAGCGGCGTCCATGCTCGATAGGAGTGCGCCCGAACAGCCCCCCCTTTGGGCCTTGGGGCGTCTGTCCCCCATGCAAGGGCTCCCTCTTTCCTCCACGTCTCGTCGACGAGCCAGGGGCCCGGGAGAAACATCGCCTGCGAGGTCTGGCCTCGCGCACAGGGCCTGATGAGGCTTTCTCGGAGGAGGGCCAGCGGAGACAGCGGTGGCCCTCCCGCCAGGCCCAGATGCGCCCCACATTGTCGGGTGCTGCCAGAAGTGTTCCTGGCCCAAGGTGCCCCCAGCTTGTCTCGCTCCACTTTGGAACCTCTGGGGCCCTCTGGGCCTCGAGAGGTGGGAGCATCTCGTCGCCGCGTCTGCGGCTGCGGCTGCCGCTGCGGCTACTGCTGCTGCTGCTGCTGCTGCTGCTGCTGCTGCTGCTTGCTGCTGCGACGAGGAGGAGGAGGAGGAGGAGGGAGGAGGAGGAGGAGGAGGAGGGAGGAGGAAGGAGGGAGGGGAGGGGGAGGGGAGGGGGGAAGGGGAGGAGGAGGGGGGAGGAGAAGGAGGGGAGGGGGAGGGGAAGGGGGGGGGGAACAAGCTAGGTGCGCTCGCGTCATATCTGACGTCCTACCCCTCCCTCCCATCCCTTACCATGGCGCTGATTTTCTCTATCCGCGGACGCGTGTCGTAGCGGACCTGTGGCTCCGCGCGCGCGTGCGTAGTGGGTGGTGGTGCACGTGCGTGCGTGCGTGCGTGCGTGTGTGCGTGGTTGTCGTGGTGGTGGTGGTGGTGGTGGTGGTGGTGGTGGTGGTGGTTGGTGTGTGCGGTGTAGCGTGGTGGTGGTGGGTGGGGTAGTGCGGTGGTGGTGGCGGTGCGCGGTGGTGGTGCGCGTGCGTGCGTGCGTGCGTTGGTGGGTGGAAGTGGCGGTGGGTGTGCGTGCGGCGGGCGGGGCGTGGTGCGGCGCGGTGGTGGCGGGCGGATGGGCGCGCGAGAAAGAGGCCCGCGCTGGGGCGAGAACGCCATCCTGAACGACGGAGGCCAAACACCGATCCGAAAATGAGGCCCACGCTGCAGCGGGAGCACGATTCGGAACGATTCGGGAGCAGAAATGAGGCCGGCGCCTCAGCGAAAGCAGCATTTTGAAAAAAAAAAAAAAAAAAAAAAAAAAAAAAAAAAAAAAAAAAAAAAAAAAAAAAAAAAACGCAGGCGAAAACCCTCCCTGGAATCCTGTGTAAAAAACAGTACGCGGGGGGGGGGGGGGTCGAATATTCCCAGGACGCCATCAGGGGAAAACGGAGAGTAGTATTCATATTGAGTAATTGTGGAGGAGAAGGAGGAGGAGAAGTAGGAGGGGCGCTCTGGAGGAAGCTTAGGCCACCCACAAAATCCTGGGGGCACCTTGGGCCAGGGGCCCTTGAGGCAACACCCGAAAAACAATCTCCCGGACCCCTCCCTGGTTCCAACCTGGTTCTCTTCCTCCGCCTCCTCCTCCTTCTCCTCCTCTTTTTCTTTCTCCTCCTCCTCCTCCTCCTCCTCCTCCTCCTCCTCGTCCCTCCTCCTCCTCCCACTCGTCCCTCCTCGTCCCTCCTCCTCCCTGTCCTCCTCCTCCTCGTCCCGATTTCGAGGCGAACCCCGCCGCGGCGACGAGGAGCCCCCGGGAAGACCGAAGGCGACGAGACGCGCCAAGGATGGCCGCCGTGGTCTCGGCTGGCCCTTCTCCGCGCCGGGGGCGAGACGCCGACCTCCGCGGGCACGCCGCGGGGGGCGACCGGCAGCGGACCCCCTCTGGTGGAGGAGCGGCAGAAGAGCAAGATCGATGGCACGCAGTCGAGGGCATCGGTTAGAGGCGGACATTGGTGCAGGTCCACTTCCTTTCTCCTCACTTCCCTCCCCTGCTCTGATTGGTTCCCTCCTTCCTTTGAGAGGGGAGGGGGAGGAGCGAGGTGGATCTGTATCGCTGTCCTCCTCCGAATCGGCGTGTTGCTGACGACGATGCGCCGAGCCCTCGGACACAAACAGAGGAACAGCACGCTAACGGGCCCCGAAGGCGGCGGGCCATCGATACGCAGGAGCTGCTGACGAGGTGCTGCTGCGGTACCACGCGGCCGCGCTGCCAGAGGTGAGATGCGGGAAGATCCTCCGCCCCCTTTCCTCCTCCTCCTCCTCCTCCTCCTCCTCCTCCTCCTTCTGTTCCTCCTGTTCCTCCTGTTCTGTTCCATGGCCATAGCAGAAGGACTCCGCAAGTTGCAACACGCGAGCTCACCGAAATGCCGTGCGCTGGCGACGAGGGACGATGGGACCCGTCGGGCCGCGCCCGGCCGGGCGACGAGGCCGAGGAATGTTCGAGCCGTGCCCGGCTGCGCGCCGCATCGACGGGCCTCTGCAGGAAGGCACCAACTATACACCAGCACCGATCCTGGCCAGGATAACCTTGGGCCCAGGATCGGTGTATACGCCCTCCTGCCTTGCGCAAGAAGGCATACACACCGATCCTGGGCCCAGGGTGATCCTGGGCCAGGATCGGTGTTGGTGTATAGTTGGTGCCCTCCGACTCTACGAGCAACCCGCCCCGTTCGAATCACCACTGCTCAAGTTCCACGGCGTGCACCCTCACGGGACCCGGCCGCCACGTCTGCCCGGCCGCAGAACTCCCGGAGGGCCGCTCACCTGCCCTGGCGCCGGCGCCACTCCAGCTGGATCTCGTGCTGGAGCTGCCTCTGCAGGCTGCCGGCGCCGCCCCCGCCTCCACGAAACACTGTTTGCACTTGGTGGACTTCGCGGGGATCGCCGTGGCGACCGACTTGACCAGCTTGGACTGCCACTTGACGACTTTGACGCCGAGCTCGTGCTTCCCGTTCTCGGTCGATCTCCCGCTGCCGCCTTGCTTCCTTTCCGCTTGCTGGGCCTGCCAAGCGCGCAATGATCGTCTCGCCCGCGTTCGTGTCGAACGGCTCCTCTATGAGCGGCCAAGAATGTTGAGCGGCAGCTTTATGCACGACTTCGCGATGAGGATCGGCTTCTTCATGATGCACAGCTTCTCGATAATGAACGGCTTCATTATGCAGAGTGGCTTCTCTATGAAGAACGGCCTCTGGGATGAACGGCTCCTACGTGTTGAACGCCGTATTGATGATCAATGGGTTTTCAAAAACAGCGGCATCTCTAGGTGGAACGGTGCTTGCATGAAGACCGGATTTAAGAAGAACGGCTTCTCGATGAGAGGCGGTTTCTTAATGAAAGGCGGCTTCTCGACGAGGAACGGAGTTTGCGCGATGGCCGCTTTCTGCATGTTGAGCGGCGTCTTGCTTATGAACGGCCTCTTCATGGAGAACGGCTTCTCCACAACGCACTGTTTCTGTTGATGGTTTTTACTTGGACCAAGGGGCTACAGATTAGCATGTACAGTCAACACGCCTCCAAGATGCAGGCGAGCGCATCGCCTCGCATCTTCTCATCTGTACTGCGGCTCGAACCTCCCTCTGAAGGCTCAAGCTCAAGCCGAAGCGGGCGTCCCCGCCGAGGCTCCCGCGCGCCCGCGCCCGACGCGCGCCCTTGGCTCAAAAGGAGCGGCCAGCGTGCCGCGTCCTCACCCGTCTTGGGTGGCCCTCAGAGGGTCTTCCATCCCGGCCCGAACCTACCTCGTGCTGCTGAGAAGCGCGCCTAGGTGCGAGCTCAAGCTCGCATCCGAGCGAAACGCCCGGATAGGCACCCTGCCTGGAACCAGCCGCGCGGCCCACGCCGCTGCAGCCAGCCCCTCACTGCTGGCCATGTGCTGGCCGCCGTCCCTCGTCAGACGAACGATGAGGTCCGCCTTCAAGCCGCTCACCGGCAGCTTCCGCCACCTGAGCTCCTCCTTGAGCTCTGCCACGGTGGCCTCAGCCAGCATCTTCCCGAAGTACTCCGAACCGAGGTTTCGCCCTTCGGCGACCCGCTCAGGCGCAGCTATCGCCGCTGCCCGAGAAACGACATGCCCCTCAGGCGCGTCCTTCGACGCCGCCTCGGGCCTCGCCGTGCCGTCGGCCTGCGGGGCAGCCCTCGCCGCTCCCGCTGGTGGGGCAGCACCCGCCGCCCTAGATGAGAAGAGCTGCACCGCCCCTCTCGTGCACTCAACTGCGCCCTTGACCGCGAGCACCAGCACGATGATGAACACGATCATGGCGGGACCGATCGAGCCGATGTTCGACTCGACCTCCTCGTCAGCGGCCGCGGAGCACTGCTTGTCCCCGTGCTCGGCCGCCTCCGTGAAAGTGACGCCCACGCCTGCGGCGAGCCCCTTGGTCAGAAGCCGCAGGTTGGACATCTCCAGCAACTTGAGCACCCGCTTGCCGTCCAGATGCTTGGTCCCCAAGTCGCTCCTGTTGCTCTCCGTGTCGACTCGCCCGAGCTGCAACTCGCCGAGCCTGACTCGTTCCTGCACCCACAGATCTCGTATCTGTAGATGCCGTACCTTGCCACTGCCGATCCGCGTCGCGATCGCCCTGCCTGCATTCGAGTCGCTGTGAACCTTCGACGCGACCTCGATGCCACACTGCTGGTAGAACTGCCGCATCATGATCGCACTCGCCGCGCCTCGGCCGATGGCGTAGAACTCGGCCTCCCGCTGCTGAGCGCGACGACGGGCTGCGATGCCACCTGGGTCTCCAGAAGGTGGCTGCCGAAGAAGCCGTACACGGAGCTGGTCGATTTCCTCGTGATCTCATCCTCTGCCCAGTCCGAGTCCGTCTCGTAGAGAACCGCCTTGGGCATCTCCTGCTCCTCGTAGAACCACCCGAGCTCGCGCCGACCGTGGAGATACCGCACGCACCGCCTCAGCCGGAGCATGCTGATGACTGGGGCTTCCCCATGTCCGTGAGGATCACCTTCACCGCGAACTGGATGTCCGGCCTGTCTACCGCCACGTAGTTGACGAGCCCCGCGACCTGCTGGTAGAGCTTCGCCTCGTCGTGCGGAAGTGGATCCAGCGCCTCCCGGACGCTCTTGCCCGTGGCCTTGCTCCCAGGCGTGTCCGCCGGCTTGCACTCCGTAAGGCCCAGCAGCTCCACGCACCTCGTCACGTGCTTCGTGTCGCCGATCCAGACGAACCCCTTGCCCGTCCACCTGATCTTGCGCTTGAGGTATGGGAGCTCGCGAACGCCATCCGGCCCGACACGACCGATGCACTTGACGTCCATGCTCGCCATCAGCTGCTGGTCCAGGACATCCAGGGACTCCTCCTCGCCCTCGGTCAGGATGTCGTCACCGTGGATCGCCGAGGTCATGTCCAAGAGAGACTCGTGGTACACGCCCGCCGCCACCGCGATGCGCGTCCAGTTGTTCTTCTTGAACACCCCGGCCACGTACTCCTGCCAAGCCTGTGCCGCCTTGCGCGTGCCGTACATGGCCTTCCGGAGCTGCCACACGTACCCGTCTCTCCTAAGTCCTGGAGGCGGGATGACGACGATCCACTCGTCGAGGTCGGCGTGGAAGAACGCCACGTGCACGTCATGCACCGAGAGATGCCCCCGACCCTTCTTCGTCGCCGCCAAGGAGACGATCGCCCTGACGATGGCGATCGGCGGCGTGCCCGCGTTGCAGTCCTCTCGGCCGTACGTGTTGATCTCCATGGCGACGCCTCGGGACCGGACGAAGGAGGTGCCGTCCTTGGTGCGCAGGTCCTCGACCCACTTGAAACGCACCACCTTGCCCCGGCTCTCAGCCACGCGGACCTCCTCGAAGACGCCGTGTCGCCGCATCTCCTCGATCTCGGCCTCGCGCCCGCGCCTGACCAGGTCCCTGGGGAGCTCCTTCCCGCTCCTCGCGTCGTACACGTGCTTCTCCGTGTCTGGCAGGACCGTGATCGCCGCCGGCTCGACGGGGCTGACCTCGAACATCCCGATCTCCAGCGGCTCGCAGCTCTCGATTTCCGTGACCGTCTCGAGCTCCTCGTGGGACTGCTGGTCCAGGCCCTCGTACGTGTAGGGATTGATCTCCACGAAGGCCCCGACCGCGAGCGACCCGACTGTGATCGCCGCTGTCTGGCGCGGCCTCTTCGCCGCCGCCTCGCCCTGGTCATCGCGAGGTGCCATGCTGGCGTCCCCGGACGATCCTGGCCTGCCGTCTCCAGCTCCAGCCGCTGGCTCCGGCGCGGCCCCAGCCGCCGCCGGCGTCGGCGCAGCTCCCGCCGCTGCCGACGAGGGCGCGGCCCCCGCCGCTGCCCTGGCCATCTCCTCCTTGCGCAGCTCGTTCTCGATCCTCTTCCGGCACTCCTCACTGTGCGATCCCATGCCTGTGACGCACCTCGGGCACATGGGGGTCCAGCCGTACTTGTCGATCAACGCCCTCGTGATGTACGTCGACCTCAGCCCTGCGCCTCCTGGCCCCGCGGGCGGCGCCGGCCCGACCATCGCTGGTGGCACCAGCGCCTCCGGGCCCGCAGCCGGTAAGACCACTGGCGGTGGCGGAGGTGGCGGCATCAGCCGCTGCTGATTCGGCTCCACCTGGGGCGCTCCCGCCGGCACGATGCCGATCTGTGGAGCCCGGCGCATGTCCCACGGCACCCCAGCGAACTTGTCCAGCTCCTCCAGCACGAACCGCTCGCCCTCCGGTCGCCGTCTCACCGTGCGCACCCTCGTCGTGCGCGTTGGACCCGCCACCAGGTGCTCGTCCGAAACCTCTGTCTTGCCCAGCCACACCGCCGCGTGCCACCGAGGCTGCAGCTTGGAGGTCGGCGTGGGGCCCCTCGCCCAGACGCACTCCGCGAAGTTGACGAGCTCGCCCCGATATGGCCTCCCCTTGAGCACCTCGTAGGTCGTCTTGCCGTTGCCGTGCACCGTGAAGCGGTTGAGCTGCCAGCCAGCGTGCCGAATGAGCCAAGGTAGAAGCCCATGATCGGCTGGGAGCTCCCGCTTGTAGTTGTCGCCCACCGAGAACAGCAGCGCCCTGATCTGCTTGCCGAGCTCCTCGTTGGCGCGCTCCACTCCGCCGACTCCCTGATGGTTAGCCCGCTGAGCTGACTCGACCATCGTGGGCGCCTTCCGCTGAGCCTTGATCTCCCTCGCCAGGGCCGTGATCGACGCCTCCTGGTCGTGATTCAGCACGATGCGATCCAGCCCCCAGTTCTCGATGGTGGCGACCGCTGTCTTGACCATGTAGGCGTCGGTACCCTTCGGCCCCATGATGCCATGAATAGCTTGGGAGTTCATGTGCACCATGTTGAGGATGCTCAGCTGGCCCAGGAAGTAATAGTCGATCTGGACCTCGTCGCCCGTGCGCTCGTGCCCGGCCTTGTAGTGCGGGTCGTCCGTGAACTTGGATCTGACGCACACCCAGCACCAGGACCTCGCCGGAATGTGCACCAGCTCGTGCGTCCTCTGCTCGGCCAGGCTTGGCTTCACCGGATCCTTCTTGACTCGAACCGGCACGGACTCCTCGAGCACTGCCTGCGCTGCCGGCTCGCTCGCCTCGGCCTGAGCGTGAGTCGCGGCAGCTCCTCCGCCGCCGCCCTGGAGCGCGGCTCTCGCCGCTGCCCTGGACGCAGCTGATGCGCCGCCGGCCTCGCCTCCCGGCTCCTCGCCCCGCACCGGCATGACGAGCGAGTTCTTGACGCCTTCACCGTACTTGTCCATCTTGAGGTAGAACAAGTCGTTGCGCCTGACCAGCGGCACGGCGTCCGGGTCCGAGAACTCGATCGGCTTCGGGATCATGTAGCTCCCGCTCGGCGTGAATACCCACGACGTGCCCTTGTCGACCGCCTGCGACACGCCCAGCACCGGCCTCTTGACGTCGGCGACCTTGTAGTCCACCCCGATCTTGTGCCCGTCCTTCGTGTACGTGACGAAGCGCTCGCCGTGGCACGGGATGTCGTCGCCGCTCGCTCCGACCAGCCGGATGCGCTCGCTCAGGCCTCTGAGTGCCTCGTGGGCCCCGTGACTCGGCGGACACACCGATCGCGCAGCACCCGAATCCACCATGACCCAGTGCTCATTGATACCGATGATCTCCTTGCTCTCGAACGTCTCGTGCTCGTTTGCTGCCCCTGGCTGGCTCAGCTGCTCGATCGGGCTGGCACCGACCAAGAATGGCTGCCTCGGCTGCGCTGTGCCTGATGACGGCTCGCTCGAACGTAGGTGGATCGCTGTCGTCGCTGGTGCTAAGGGCGTCGCTGCTGCTCCAGTCGACGACGACTCCTGCCCTTCCTCCAGCTCGATCGCGAGGCACCAAAGTGGCTCTGCCCCGCCCTCGGTCGCGATCGCCATCACCGGCGCCGCGCTCCCCGCGGCGCTCGCCGCTGGCGGAGCTCCCGTCGGCTTCGACTCCTGCTCGACCGCGTTGGTGCCCTTCTTCTTCTTCTGCTCTGCGAGGAACTTCCTGCACTCGCTCTTGATGTGACCGGTCTTGTGGCAGTGGAAGCACCGTTTCTCGGCCCTGTCCTTGGCCGCCTGGCTCCTCTGGTCCGTGGAGTTGTCGCCGCCCTTGCCCTTCTTGCCTTTGCCTTCCTTGCCCTTCTTTCCTTTGCCCTTGTCGCGCTCGCGCCTCGCCTTCTCCACGGCGCTCGTGTCCATCGGGACCGGCGGCGGCACTGATGAGATGGCGCTCCTCGTCGAGATCACCATGTGCACCTCGTTGCGCATGAGCTCCCACGTGACCAGCCTCGACGCGTTGTGGACCAGGTGCGCTCGAAGAGCTTCGTCCTGAATCCCCCGTTGAAGGATCGCCATCTTGATCCTGTCCCCGATCCTCTCGTGGCTCTGACTCTCGTACTTCGTGACCTTGAAGTCGAAGTCCGCCAGCGTCCCCACGATGTTGTCCTCCGGGAACTGGAACGCAATCAGCTCCTGCAGCAGTCCTGCGTGGCGACCGGGTCTGTCGGGCTCGTACATGTCTTGTAGTGCCCTCCACGCCCGATACCCTTCTCCGACGCCGACCGGCTTGATCAGCTGGAGTGCAGCTCCTTCCAGCAGCAGGACGAGGATGAAGTACAACTGACGACTGCGCTGGCTCGCTCCTTCCTCCAGGAGCCTCGCGTTCCTCACCTCCTCCAGCGGGAACGTCATAGCCGCCGTCAGCTCGTTGGCCATTATCTCGTCGAGGGCCCCGAGGTACGCGAGCATCTTGAAGCTCCATCCCGGCCACTCGTCCTCGCTGCCTCCGAACGCCTTCGGCTTCGCCAGAAGCCGAGTGTCCACTAGATCCTGTGGCGCAGCCCTCGCCGCTGCCACGGGCCTGCTCGCCGCGGCGCCTGCGCTCGCTGCTGCTGACTCCGCCGCCAGGGCGCGCTCCTCTGCAGCCTGCACCCGTTGTTCGGCAGCCTGCAACGCTCCCTCTAGCGCCTGGAAGCGTCGCTCGATCTCTTCCATACTTCCTGTCGAGCTTCTCGTCGAACTTCCGGCTCCTCAGGATGTCCGCCTTGTTCGACCTTGAGCCACGCTTCCTCTTCTTCTTCGGCGGCGTGCTGGGCTAGGAAGGGCCGGCCGGCGCAGCTCACGCCGCTGCCAGCCGCCAGGAGGGCGCAGCCCTCGCCGCTGCCCTATCGCTGGCGCGCGCGCGCGCCGCGGGTGGCTGGAAGGGAAGCGGCGGCAGGAACGTGCTCACGCACGCTCCGCTACCATGTTGATGGTTTTTACTTGGACCAAGGGGCTACAGATTAGCATGTACAGTCAACAGTTTCTCAATGTTGAACGGCGTCTTGATGAGCAACGGCTCCTTGATGGAGCATGGCTCGATCGTGGAAAACGGTTTCTTGCTGAACGGCGTCATGATGACGAACGCTCGGGTCCGCCATAACCCATCGCCCATGTTTCAGGGTCCACTGCGCTCGCTGAATTGTGCGGAACGACTTCTCCTGCACGTCGTAACGATCCTCTGTCTTCATGGTTTCTCCCCGTTCCAGGGCTTCATCAAGGTTGGGTGTCTGTGTCTTCCCGTTGGAATCCAGTGCTTGCTTAGCCTGCGACGCCATAATCCCTTCTTCCGCTTTCATGGCCTCCTCGATCCTCCGTGGCCTTTTTGTGTTCCTCTATATTCTTGGCATCCTCTGATGTCTGAGCCTCCACAATCCTTCGTTTCAGGCCCCCTCGACTCGGGTGGCCATGTCGTCGGCGGCGCGTTGACGTTGAGGGAGGGGACGATGGCTGGCAACATCCTGGAATTGCCCGGGACGAACTCTGGTGTCTCACGTCGGATATTGGACACGACTCTCACCTTCTGTAGCGGCGCGGCACAAGAGGCGACGGTCACGGCGATAGACACGGTGGCCGACCGCCCAGCACGCCTGAGACAGCGCCTGTGTCGGGTGGTGCACGTTGTGCTGTAGAACTTCGCATTGACAAGGGTGTCTGTGTATGGAGTGGGCCTGCAGTGAACCGTCGATGTCGCGATACGCGTCTTTCTTTAGTCTTTGTGCGAACTCGTGCAGCAAGCATTTTGTGCTTTGGAGGCATGTTGTGCTGGAGGTGGTAGCTGGCCATGTAGCCAACCAGTGAGCAAGCGGGCACCTCCGAATCGAGAAACTCAAGCTTCCTCAGCGCGCCTCCGGACCATGAGCAAAGGCTGCGGAGAAAGCGGAAAACCATGGTTTGAGCCAAAATTGCCACGGTCTCCTCCTCCTCCTCCTCCTCCTCCTCCTCCTCCTACTCCTATACCTGCTCCTATACTCACTCCTCCTACTCCTCCTCCTACTCCTACTCCTATACCTACTCCTCCTACTCCTCCTCCTCCTCCTCCTCTCCTACTCCTAATCCTCCCTATCACAGCCCGAGGCCGGTCGGAAGGGCGGGCCCCGCGTTTCGCCTGGGCCTTACCTTGTATGAGCCTCAAGGGTGAAAAATGGCAGCAGCTTCACATATGCAAGGGCTCCCAACTTCGCGCTTCGCGCTCCGCGAAGCGCGAAGCGCGAATAACTTCGCGCTCTCGCGCCGCCCCCCCAAAGGGAGAAAAGGAGGACGAGGAGGAGGGGGAGAAGGAACGAGGACCGCGAAGCGCGAACCGCGAATAACTTCGCGCCCTCGTGGGAGCCCTTGCATATGGAGGGCGAATCGTTTCCTAAATGTGGCTCTCGCCTCAGCGCCGCGCACACTTGTGTCAAACATTCGGAAGAGCTTCACGGGTTGAGGGCGGGTCGCTTTCAAAATGTTGCTCTCGCCCCAGCGCCGACCACATTCGTGACAACAATCTGCCAAGAGCGTCATGGATTGAGGGCGGCTCCTGTTCAACATAAGGTAATCGCCTTATCGCTGCGCGCGTTCATGTTAAGTTTGCAAAAGCTTCACTGATAGAGGGCGGTTCTTTTTTAACATGTGGCTATCGCCTCAGCGCTGCGCACATTCGTTCTGAAAAGTTGCAAGAGCTTCTCGGATTGGGGGGCGGTTCCTTTACAACATGTGGTTCCCGCCTTAGCGCCTCGCATGTTCTTTTAAAACAGTGCAAGAGCTCCACTGGTTCTCATGAGTAACGTTCCGGAAGTTGTGTTTGGGACCGGTTTAGGATTGTCAGGGCGCAACAGATACTTTGATTCCCGGTTCTGAAATCCCAGGAATAGCGTTCTGGCACCATTCAGGATCGTCAAAACGCAGCAATCAGGTTGACCCGTGGCGTTGAAGTGCTGAGAGCGGTGTTTTGGCATGCTTCAGGAGTTCCACACGGCTGTCCCCCAACGGGGCACTTCTCTCAGTGAAAATGAATCCGTGTAGGGGCCAATGATGAGGGAGCTTGGAGGGAGGGAGTATTCCAACATCGTTGATGAGTCTTGGGTTTGCACTGGCCCTCCTCATCCTCCTCCTACTCTGCCTCCCCCAAGACAGCCGTCTCGA